TTATCCTAGTATATTGAAAGACATTAAGAAAGCCAGTGTCACTGGCCGGTGTTGTTCAGTGGTTGAGCATCGACCTATGAACCAGAAGGTCACAGTTCGATTCCCAGTCAGGACACATGCCTGGGTTGCCAGGCTCAACCCCCAGTGTGGGATGTGCAGGAGGCAGCCGATCAATGATTCTCTCTTATCATTGATGTTTCTTTCTCTCTTCCTCTCCCTTCCTCTCTGAAATCAATTTTTAAAAAAGCCAGTGTGAATAGAGCAAAAGACAGAAACGGTAAATGAGATTGTAAACATAGAGGAAGAACAGAAATAATAAATGAGTCTCATAGGAAATGGCAAGCAACTAAATTTTATCCAAAGTGCAAAGAAAAGCCACTGTTAGGCTTTAAAAAGGGGAATAATATGATCTGATTTCTGACTTACATATTTTAAATGTCACTTTGTGTCTCACATTCTCCTTTCCAGACAGTCTTAAAATCTGTCTTGAGAGATGAGAGCACTAAGCTAGATTTGTGATAGAATAACTTTTTATTTGACATCAAGTATTTTTTATAGTTACTCCCAGTTTACCTTGAAGTTTGAATAGCAAATTTTACCTAGAAGTATGTTTATAGTACAGGAGAACATTATCTCATGGGCATACAAACTTAGTATGCTGTGCACACTTTGGTCTTCCAAGAGAAGACTCTATAAGAACATGTCTACTTCGTGACCTCAATATAAAGCTACCAAATATGGAGAGCAATTAATTGGCAGGACACTTAATTACTGGAGCTCCAAAGGTATAATTTCTTAGAGCGTGGGTCTAGGACAAAATTCTAAAGTAAATAATATTTCTCTTGTTACCTATCTCCTCTTTCAGTGTCTCTCCTCCCACATTTAGCAGTCACCACCCAACCACTTCATTGGGCTTGAGACTTTAATGGGTTCATAGCACTCCCATTCTACTCAACCTAGAATCAACATTCCACACTTCTGACTTATCCTGATTCTAAATATAAAGGCAGATAATGAGGTTAATAAAATAATTTACCTTTGAATTTTTAGGAGTAAGGCTCAGATCTGCCCCTATGGGAAGTAGACAGCCATTACACTGACTAAAATATCTTTCAGAGGTAGGCCTCAAACATAGAAATGAGATATTTTTACTTTCATGAGTTCTGACCTCTCATCAAAATAGGAAGAGAAGGGTCACCAAACCTGATGGGAGTGAAATCCTTGAGATAAAAATGGAAAGTAGCCAAAACCGGTTTGGCTCAGTGGATAGAGCGTCGGCCTGCGGACTGAAGGGTCCCAGGTTCAATTCCGGTCAAGGGCATGTATCTTGGTTGCGGGCACATCCCCAGTGGGAGATGTGCGGGAGGCGGCTGATCGATGTTTCTAACTCTCTGTCTCTCTCCCTTCCTCTCTGTAAAAAATCAATAAAATATATTTTTTTAAAAAAAGGAAAGTAGAGGATGGCTGAAGATGGAAAAAAGCACTTACATACTCTAAGACAGCCTGAGTAAATGAAGCTAAAAATTATACTCTGTTTTCCTCGACTTTCATGGGGATCTCAAGGTCTTTTTAACTTTCTAATGTGTCAATTTCCTATAAATAGTAACAGCTTAGCTGTAGCTGGTTTGGCTCAGTGGATAGAGAGTCTTCCTGCAGACTGAAGGGTCCTGAGTTTGATTCTGGTCAAGAGCATGTACCTTGGTTACAGGTTCCTCCCAGCCCAGGCCCTGGTCCAGGAGGCAACCAATCGATGTGTCTCTCTCACATCTATGTTTCTCTCTCCTCTTTCACTCTCTCTAAAAATCAATGAAAAAATATCCTTGGGTGAGGATTAAAAAAAAAATCACAAAAAAGTAGTAATAGCTTAATTTATCTGTTTTCTTTGCTGAATACTCTTTATAATAATTATGAATATTCAAATGGAGGGTGGCAAATTTCTAAATTATTATTTTTTAAATATATTTTATTGATTTTCCACAGAGAGGAAGGGAGAGAGATAGAGAGCCAGAAACATCGATCAACTGCCTCCTGCACATCCCCTACTGGGGACTGCCTGCAACCCAGGTATATGCCCTTGACCAGAATCGAACCTGGGACCCTTCAGTCTGCAGGCCGACGCTCTATCCACTGAGCCAAACCGGTTTCGGCTCTAAATTATTTTTGATGGGAAAACAATACTTCTGGTTTGGAAGTCCTGGCTATACCTTGGGTTACTTGTAAGCTATAGCTCTCTAGATAGGTTATTTCTCTTTATATCTGAAAAGGCCAGATTAAAGTACTTCTGTGATCCCTTGCCAGTTCTCATATTTCATACATCTAATCTAACACTTTGGACAATTGCTATGTGGTCAGAATTATAATGGGCCAAGCATCAAAGAGGTATTTTTCCTGTGACATTACATTTTTTTGTTTGTTTTCCTCTTACTATGCTGATAGTTCCTTCTCAGACTCTTTTTTTTTTTTAAATATATTTTATTGATTTTTTTACAGAGAGGAAGGGAGAGAGAGATAGAGAGCTAGAAACATCGATGAGAGAGAAACATCGATCAGCTGCCTCCTGCACATCCCCCACTGGGGAAGTGCCCGCAACCCAGGTACATGCCCCTGACCGGAATCGAACCTGGGACCTTTCAGTCCGCAGGCCGACGCTCTATCCACTGAGCCAAACCGGTTTCGGCCCTTCTCAGACTCTTGTATGAATGCTTCCTCTTTTATAAGCTCCTCAAAACTTGGTTCTTGGGCCCTCTTCTTGCCCTCACTCCCCACGTTCTCCCCCATTCAAACTATTTTTTACACATTAACCAGAGTGATCTACTGCAAAACCACATGTGATTACATCTTCCTGTTTCATTTGTTCTACCATTATTTACCGAGTACCTATAATGTGCAACATATTCTTCTAGAAGATAGGAATCCAGTGCTATACAAAATAGACAAGGCAATGACTTCTTTTTATTCTTAGGAAGGTTCTATATGATCCTGGCCACTAACTCACTTTCCCTTTGATCCCAGATTATTACAGTTTAGCCATATTGACCTGCTTTCTCAGAGCTTTTGAGCAAGTCTGTTCCTGTACCAATGCCTATACAGTTTTCAAATGTAAGCTTAAATTTCTCTTTTGAAAACTCTCTGACCAGACTAGGTCCCCCTGTATTTCTCCTTCTAGAACTAGTCACGGCAAATTTAAAAAGTTGTGTGCTTGTTTCATATATTACTAGTTCTCTTGTAAGCTCAAAGAAAAATGGGAAATTTCTTGTTCATTACTCTATTCCAAGCATCTGGCCCATATTAGGAGCTCAGTTTGTTAGTTGAATGAAGGAATGGCTCACTATGCAGTGTTATCATAGTTCTGCAGTCTGGTGACCTGTAAGATTCAGAGACCTCTTTTTAAAGGGAAAAATTAACAGGTCACACTTTAGAATTTGGCCTTTTTTTTTTTTTTCTAGTTAGAAAGTTCTAATTACTGGCTGAATTTGAAGATTTCTTACTTACGGAATCATTGTTTTGGAGAGTTAAAAGAAAGAATAACGTCAAAATTGACGTCACTTCAGTTATTTATTCAACAACAAACATTACTGACTGAAAATTAACTGGGATATTTCAACATTTTTCAATTACTTTACCTCACCTGCTGCCCTAGTTCAGGTTTTCATTTCCTGCCTGAATCGTTGCACTTCTCCTTCCCAACTTATTGTCATTGTTTTTAAAATACATTATTTGTTTTGTGTTTTTTTCCCAATTAGAATGCAAGTTCCATGAAGGAAAGGATTTTTGTTTTGTTCATGATTTTATTCCGTGTTTGTGGAGCTCAGGGAGCCTAAACAAACCTAAAGACAACAGCCATCAATACAGCTCCCTGCTCTAAGTGTTTCTCCACCCATTCATTTACTCCTTTTATGTGCCAGTATATTGTATCTTGCTAACATGTCAGTTGTTTTTACTTTTTCCAGACTGTCTGTTTCTGTCACATGTTAGATAATTGGCCACTGAAGGCCATTACAAGCAGAAAATAACCTGAGGGCAGCAGCCTCCACCCGCTGTAGCTGCTCAATAAATGGTGGCTGACCTTAACACTAACTGTGGACTCTAGTCCGTGGGGAAGCTAAAAAATGTTTTCGCACAGAAGAGTGAGCACATCCTCACCGGCCTCTTAACCCCTAGAGTGCCTCGCGCTCCTCCCCTCTTTCGCCAAAAGTACCCGGAGCTATCAAAGCTTCGAAATGGCGTCCAGTTCTAAGTCTGCTTTTATTAGTGATGATGATATTGCTAAAAATGTCAATGTAGTAAAGGTTTCCTTAAGTTTTTGAATATGTAACTTCATTTACTTGCGATTCATAATTTTTTTCCTAAACTGCTATAAAATCAGCAAAAATGCCTTGGCAATTTTAGCATAGTTCCTAGGATACTGGTTGGCACTCAAAGGGTTAAGCACCTTTTTGGGCTTTGAGGGTGACCAACAGCAAAAGGTGGCCAGCGATAAGGTGGGGCAGTGCCAGGGCTATCTTAGGCCTTCAGCCCCGCTCAGCGCGGCTCCACAGGCAACTGCCATCCGGCGGCCAAGAAAACTACTTCCGGCGCTCCACGTGCTGAATCACGGCCGAGGCTCCGCCCCGAACCTGAGGGGCAGGGCGCGCATCTCGGTTTCCTCATCAGGGGAATATTTTTCTGAGTCGCGGGTCACACTCCAGCCGCCGCCTCACACCAACTCTCCGCCTACGTCATAAACGCGGCGGGGCTGCCCGGACGCCCTCCTCCCGTCGTCCTCCGCGCCGCTCCCTCCGCCTCTTTCTCCCTCGCCCCGCCCACCCTGAGTTTCGAAGAGCCCTCTCCGGGTCAGCGAATCTGCCTAGGTTCCTTTTATTCCCTGTTTCCATTGGCTGCTTACGTGCGCGTGACTGCCGTCTTGCCTCTTTATTGGGTAGGACCAGCAGCGTCATCGGCGGCTGGAGGGCGGGGCGGGGCGGGGCGCCGAGGAGAGTCAGCGTGCGGGAGACCGCGTTGGGGGAGGGGCGCAGGCCTGGCCTCCTTGGCGGCTGCGGCAGCACCAGCGCCGGCCGCCACCGCCTCAGGAACGCGGAGGAGGAAAAGCAGCTGGAGGAGTAGGAGGGGGAGGCGGGCCCTGGGGAATGGGATGCCCTTCGCTGCGGCTCGGTGGTGAATGCTGAGGAGAGTCACGGTCGCTGCAGTCGGTGCCACCCGGAGGAAGTTGTGGTGTGCGGCCGGGCGGGAGCTCGCGGCGCGGTGGAGAATCGACGCGCGGGGTCGGTGCGAAGACTCGGCTGTGGGCAGACCCTCTCCTACCCCGACCATGCCTGGAAGGAACAAGGCGAAGTCGACCTACAGCTGCCCCGACCTGCAGCCCGGTGGCCAGGATGCTGGCGAGAGCGGCCGGGTTGCCGGTCTAGGAATAGATGAATCTGAGGAGGAGGGACGGAGGGGGCCTATCAATAATGCCGGAGACCCTGAGATCGTCAAGTCTCCTAGCGACCCCAAGCAATACCGGTGAGGGAGGGGTGTGGACCGGGGAGGAGAGCCGGGGGCCGGCCCCTCTCGTGCTGCCGCGGTCACTTCTTGTGTCTGGGTCGCCTGAAGGAGCCGGAGGGTCGCCCTGCCCACCCCGGAATGCCTCCTCGGGTGGAGGTGGCGGGGGCAATTAGGGGCTTCAGTGTGGTGGCAGCTGGACAGGTGGGAACTCTTGGGTTCTACTAGGAATCAGAATGTCAGAACGGGCATAGTGGTTCGAGTAATTTTGACGTTAAGCAAGAATGGAGGTTTCTCTAAGGAAAAATAGGCTGGATGCGAAGAGAGTCTTGGTATTATGTTATGAGGAAAGGTTGAAGAGTTGGGGTTTTTAATTTTGGAGAGGATACTTAAGGGGTATATTACCTACTCACACATATTTGAGGTTTCCTTATAGTTGGAATAGGGATAAAACTAATTGGTGGAAGTTACTGGAGCAGTGGTTCTCAACCTTCTGGCCCTTTAAATACAGTTCCTCATGTTGTGACCCAACCATAAAATTATTTTCGTTGCTACTTCATAACTAATGTTGCTACTGTTATGAATCGTCATGTAAATATCTGATATGCAGGATGGTCTTAGGCGACCCCTGTGAAAGGGTCGTTGGACCGCCAAAGGGGTCGCGACCCACAGGTTGAGAACCGCTGTACTAGAGGATGGTGTGGCTTGAGTGAAAGAACTTAGGCATCATAGTTGGCCCGTGATGAAGTGGCTTGTTTCCATGGGTTTCTCATTACTGGCATGATTGGGTGACCTCTTCCAAGAATATATCAGTCTCAGTTGTGTGAGTCTTAGACTCGTAAGGTGTTTCCTAGTTCTGAAATTCTCTACTTTTGCTTTATACTGAAATTTTTTTAAAAATATATTTTATTGATTTTTTTTTTTTAACAGAGAGGAAGGGAGAGAGATAGAGAGTTAGAAACATCGATCAGCTGCCTCCTGCACACCCCCCTACTGGGGATGGGCCCACAACCCAGGTACATGCCCTTGACCGGAATCGAACCTGGGACCATTCAGTCCATAGGCCGACGCTTTATCCACCGAACCAAACCAGTTTCGGCAATACTGAAATCTTCTAAACATCTCTTAGCTGGTGGCCGAATCCCCAGCTGAATATTTCCCTCATAGGTAGCTTACTTCATAGAATGTCCTGTATTTTAAAGAGATTGTATACAGCTTCATTTTACAGGTTCAAGAAATTGAGATCCAGAGAGTTTGCTTCTTGCTCAGAATTACACAGCTAAATAATAACATAGTTGATTGGAAAACCCTGCCACCAAACCCAGTGTACCATTGACTGACTTTTATAGAATTCTTACTCTTGTTGAGTTGAAAGCTGAAGGATTTTTAGTTCCAATTTGTTTGTAAACAAACAAATTTGTTTAGAGCAGTAAAGAACCTTCGAGATAATTTTTTCCACTCCCCACCCATCCCCATTTGACAGATGATTGAAACAAATCTAGAAAAAAGTGATTTAACCTCAAGTTTAAGACCGGTCTGTTTTGTCTTTTCACTCCAGGTCTTTGTACTATTTTTTTTCCCCCCAGGTTGCAGGTTAAAGAGATCTTTATGGAGGGGCTAAATTTTCCTTTTTTCATTAAAGATGTGGTTGTATTAGTAATATGTAAATGAACAAGTTGAAACCTTCATAAAAGGTGTTTAGTTTTTGTCTTCCAAATTAAATGTTCAATAATAGCTTCAGTTTTTGTCTGCCTATATAAAGATACATAATAACAGCTAATATTTATAGAATACACACTATGTATCAGGTACTGTTCTTTTTTTTAAATTTTTATCCTCACTTAATATGTTTCCCTATTGATTTTTGGAGAGAAAGGAAGGTGGGAAGGAGAGAGAAACATTGATATGCACCCTGACCAGGGATCGAACCCCCAACCTAGGTATGTGCCCTGACCACAGTCCAAGGCACAACTGGACGATGTTCCAACCAACTTGTGGGGTCTCGTGCAGGAGGCAACCAATCGATGTGTTTCTCTCACATCGATGTTTCTCTCTCTTTCCCTCTCTCTTCCACTCTTCCTAAAAATTAATGGAAAAATATCCTCGGGTGAGGATTAACAAATAACAACAACAACAACAAAATACACACAAAAAAAGAAGTATTTGTCAAATGAATTTGCCGGAAATGAGGTCATTAAATGAAAATACATCTAGAGCAATTAGAACAGTAGCTGAGCCCTGGCTGGGTGGCTAAGTTATTTACAATCTTGTATGCCCCGGTAGCAACTTTTTTCAAGCTATTTCATTTTTGTGAGTTCTATTTGTGTTTCCCCTCTGTTGTGCTGAATTTTTTGTAGGGAGGCACTGACTCTTTGAGTCTTTGAATGCGTCTGTTAATAAATCAACTATATATACTAAAACCTCTCCACTTGTACACTAGATCCCATCTCCTCTTTACTGACCCCATACATCAATTATTTCATTCTGTGTTGCATCATCAGTTTCCTTCTCTTACTGGATCTTTACCACAAGCATACAGATATGCTGTAATTGTTTTTATCTTCTGTGGAAAAACATTTCTTTACTTCACATTCCCTTTGCACTATCCCCTTCCAGCTACTCAACTTTCTTGGTTTCCTTTATAGCAAAGCTTATTAAAAAAGTTGTCTGGGCCTACCCAGTTTGGCTCAGTGGATAGAGCGTCGGCCTGCGGACCAAAGAGTCTTGGGTTCGATTCTGGTCAAGGTCATGTACCTTGGTTGCAGGCTCCTCTCTAGCCAGGGCCCTGGTTGTGGCGCATGCAGGAGGCAACCAATTGATGTGTTTCTCTCCAATCGATGTTTCTCTGTCTTTCCCTCTCTTTTTCATTCTCTATAAGATCAATGGAAAAATATCCTTGGGTGAGGATTAACACACACACACACACACACACACACACACAAAGGATGGAGTTATCATCCTCTATTGTTTCTTGAACTCAGTGGGCTTTTGCCACTGTTGCTGTACCAAAATTGCTATTTTCAAGACCACCAATAACCTTTACAATTGGTTCTCAAGTTCTTATCTTCATAGACCTTTCAGTATCATATGACACAGTTTCCGTCTTGAAGTGCTTTTTTCAGTTGGCTTCCAGGTCAGCATTGTACTTAGTTCTCTTTCTGCCTTATTTGCAGGATCCTCCTTATCCTCTTGACCTCTACATTTTGGAATGCCTATGGCTCATTCCCCAGACTTCTTCTTTTCCCTGCTTCCTTTGCTCCCTAGGTTACCTCATTACTCAGGTTTCCCACCCCTATATTCTTTCTTACTATTTTATTTTTCTTCATAGCACTTACTGTCATTGGATACAGTATATATTTATTTGTTCGTGAGAGCCAGGACTTTGTTTTGTTCACTGGTGTACCTCAGTGCCTAGAATAGTACCTGTCTTGTAGTCTTGCTTCCATTTCTGATGCCTTCATCCTTTTCTCCTCTGGCCTAATTATTATGTTACTAGAGGCCTGGTGCATGAAATTCGTGCTGGAGGAAGGGGTCCCTCAGCCCAGTCTCGAGGGATGTCCAACTGCTGGCTTAGGCCCGGTAGTCGGACATTCCTCTCACAGTCCGGGGCCCACCTGCTCGCTGCTCAGCTTGCTGCTCCTTAGCGCTGCCACGGAGGAGGGGAGAGGCTCCCGCCATTGCCACTGCATTCGCCAGCGTGAGTCCGGCTTCTGGCTGAGCAGTGTTCCCCCTGTTGGAGCACACTGACCACTAGGGGGCAACTCCTATGTTGAGCATCTGCCCCTTGGTGGTCAGTGTGCATCATAGTGATCAGTCATTCTGGTCATTCTGCCTTAATGGTCGCTTAGTCTTTTATTATATAGATGTTTTTCAGTTTGTATTTAAAAATATATATATTTTTGTTGATTTCAGAGAGGAAGGAGAGGGAGAGATAGAAACGTCAATGACGAGAGAGAATCATTGATGCATTGATCCGCTGCCTCTCACACACCCCTTACTGGGGATCGAGCCCGCAATCGCTTTTGCTCTGACCAGGAATCAAATCTTGACCTCCTGGTTCATAGGTCAATGCTCAACCACCGAGCCATACTGGCCAGGCTGTTTTGTGTGTGTGTGTGTGTGTGTGTGTGTGTTTTAAAAAAAAATAATTTTATTTCTTGCTTTTATTTTAGATAAAAAGTTTTTTAAAGAAACAAAACCATACAGATATACTTGAAGCTCTTTGTGCACTGCCTCCTCCCATGTCATTCTCTACCATCATTTTCCAGGGTTAACCATTATCTGAACTTGGCATCTATACAGTTTCTATGTATATTTTTATTAAGTATACATTTACCTGTAAACAGTATTACTGTTTTAAGACTTTATAGAAATAGAAGTTATATCACATCAAATGTCTTGTAACCTGCTTTTTTGTTTTGTTTTAGCATTGCTTTCGATATTTGCCCATGCTGATAAATGTAACACTAGTTATTTGTGTTAAAAGCTATTTAGTAGCTTTTTGTATGAATACATTATAATTTATCTGTTTTCCATTATTGGTCACTTACATTATTCCCAGTTTTCTTTCTTTTTTTTGTTTTGTTAATCCTCACCTGAGAAACATTGATGTGAGAGAGAGACATTGATTGGTTGTGTTCTGCATGCCCTGACCAGGGCTAGGGAGCAAGCCTTCAACTGAGGTTATGTGCCCTTGACTGGAATTGAACCCAGGACCCTTCAGTGTGGGCTGATGCTCTATCCACTGAGCCAAACCACTAGTGCTCCTAGTTTTCTATTATATATTTCTTTATGATTATGCCACAATGTATCTTTTCTTTCATTGTTGGGCATTTAAGTTGTTTCCAATGCTTCAACAATCATTTTTATACATGATTCCTTGTGCATATTTGAGAATTTATATCTATACTAGGGACCCAGTGCATGAATTCGTGCACCTTGAAAGGAACTGTGGGCTGCGAGGCGTCAATGGGCACAGGGGCAGGTCTCAGCCCATCCTCTGTGCCCCCGCCTGGCCCCTC